TTTTATTGGTTGGCTTTCCTAAAAGCACAGTAGGTTTCACTGTTACTCAGGTTTATAAAACAGACACATATCTTCTGAGTTTTGGAAAACTTTCTCTTCTTGCTAATATGTTCAATAGTTATGTAATTTTAGGCTGTGTGTTTTACAGATATAGATACATGCACAAATAAAAGTTGAATCATCATTGCACCACAATCTGTCTTTCTTTTCTCTGGTCTTGTTACTTAAACTACTAATTTTTGACTACTAATCCAGGTTTCTGCACTATTCGCTTCATCTAGGGAACAGTGACTTTCCCTGACTTTCACTTTCTCTATCTGGGAAATGGGGATAATTGTAATGATACCAACTTCATGGAGGAGGTGTTTTCAGGATTAAATATGGTAATGTATGTAAAATCCCCGCAGACGGCCTGATGACAGATGTCAACTGTTCCAGTGATCAGTTCTGCCAACTTTAATCTTCTAGGGGTTGGAGATGGGAATTTTGGGCAATAGTTTCCTATAGTAAGATTCCACAAAAAGGGCAGACCTAGTGCCCCAGTGCCATGCGTGTCCTCCAGCAGGGGGGATTGTTGCAATTCCTAAGAATTAGGGAGATGGTGCCATTCTCTTCTTGGAGCTCTTTGTCCACTTGTAATTAACAAATTAGAATTATTTGTTTCATGTACATCTTCCCTTTTGAATGTTTTTTTAAATAGACTTTTAGAGAGAGAGAGAGAGAGAGAGAGAGAGAGAGAGAGAGAGAAAGGGAGAGGGAGAAACATCGATGAGAGAGAACCATCGATCTGTTGCCTCCTACATGCCCCCTACTGGGGATTGAGCTTGTAACCTGAGGAATGTGCCCAGACCTGGAATTGAACCAGCCACCTCTTGGTGCATGGGATGATGCTCAAGCAACTGAGCCACACCAGCTAGGGCACATCTTCCCTTTTGGACCATAGACCCTATGATGGCAGAAATGGTGTGTTTTGCCCATTGCTGGACCTGCTGAGGTATTACTTGATTATTGACTGAAGCAGTATTTCTAATTCTACATAACTGAACAGAGAAGTAGCAAGGCAGTAGAGCAGGGGTCCTCAAACTTTTTAAACAGGGGGTCAGTTCACTGTCCCTCAGACCGTTGGAGGGCCGGACTATAGTTTAAAAAACAACTGTGGACAAATTCCTATGCACACTGCACATATCTTATTTTGAAGTAAAAAAACAAAACGGGAACAAATACAATATTTGTATTTGCATGTGGCCCGAGGGCCGTAGTTTGAGGACCCCTGCAGTAGAGGATAAAGGGGAAATAGACTCCCTAACGAGTAGGTTGCTTTACAAGGTGCCCCATGTTAAGAGAGCAGCGAGTGAACCTCAAGACTGGATTTGTCCTCTTCCTTGAGGGGCCTACCTAGAACCAGGTACTGAGCCTTGCGAAGGCTCAGATAAGCAATGTAATAAAAAGCATAAAAGGCCCTAGCCAGTTTGACTCAGTGAACAAAGCATCAGCCTCTCAACCAAAAGGCCCTGGGTTCGATTCTGGTCAAGGGCACATACCTTGGTTGCAGGCTCTTCCCTGGCCCTGGCCCTGGTCAGGGCGCAACCAATTAATGTGTTTCTCTCACACTGATGTTTCTTTCTGTCTTTCCCTCTCTTTTCCACTCTCTCTAAAAAATCAATGGAAAAATAACCTCGAATTATATTTTTATGAAAAAAATCATAAAAAGAAAATCAACATTTTTTTTCTCAGATAGCAATGTTATAGCATCCTAAAATAGAGAGCTTTTGATTATTTTAGATAATCTTTTGTTTAAAGGACTTAGATTCATGAAGAATGTCAAGTTAGAAGAAATTAGGGGCCCAGAAGCTAGGCATCATGGGATTGTATGCCAGGTTTCTCTTGTCCTCACATAAAAATCTTTCACTATTTAAACATCTTGTTACCTAAATCATAACTTTAGTGCTGGGATAAGAGACGGGCACCCAGACTTTAGCACTTGACTAAAATGTGACATGACTTCAAGGCTGTTCTGTGCTAAAATATGGTGATCAGCTATAATTGATCTCCAGAGAAATGATGTCTTAGATGAAAAAAAAAACATAGATTAGAACCAAGGAATTTGTTAAAATGTAGAGTTCAGGGGTACTTATGAAATCAAATCTAGAGATATTTAGGAAGAGGGCAGAGCTCCATTTCCCTAAGATTTGGGGGAGTAAAGGGCAATTCTGTGTGAATGATGGGAAACACTTCGTGTTCTTTGTATTTCAATGGGAATAGAAAGACCACACCTCAGGAAAGCCATACGGGGAATTCCAACCCCTCCTTGGAGCTCAGAGCAGTGGTCCCTTTGCAGAGTCCTGTCCAGTGAAAACTCTATCACTGTGGCCTATTAGACACTCAGAGGCGAAGCTAACCTGGGACTCCTGCCAAGCCTACCTGAATTCCTGTGTGAAGGCCTAAGGTTAGGTGCCTTGACATCGAGGAGATGTCAAGATGGAGCCACACTGGTGCATCTTCTCCAAAAACAGATTTAAAAACAGAATTAAAAACCGGGCAGAATGGTGGTGAGCAAGGTCATTTCAAAACCCGAGGGACCTCCCGTGCTTCCTCCTCCTGGGACCTGCTTGGTCAGTGCAGGCGGAAGCCCTGCCCCACTGGAGCCGACCACCAGGACATTTGGTGATGGGCGGGGAGGGTGGGGACATTTGCACATGGCGCTCCCTGCACCGGTAGCAATAGCTGCTGGAGAGAGGAGGCCAGCCCCGATGGAGAAGGCAGTGGTGAAGTGTGGCATCATACCCAGCCCCACTTCCCGCTGGGCCCCAGCTGTGGTAGCAACTTTTCATCTGAGTTGGAATAAAAGTATTAAGGGCCAGAGGCAGTGGAATGCAGCAACAAGG